ATGATTCTAAGATAATTTCATTGAATAGCCCATGCTCATATTTAAACTACCTTAAGGATATATATTTTTTTAATTTTTGATTTTAAACTATTAAACATATTTATATGATATATAATGCCTATGTTCTAAATTCCTCATACTCTAGGTTAAAGATGCACCATATTATTTTTATATGCATGTGAGAAACTATTAAGTATATAAAGCATGCACATTCATTTTATTTATTTTTTGTATTTTTGGGAAGGGTGTATAGGGTGTTCAGGGTTTCACTAGTAGATCAGATTCATAGTGATCTGCCTATTTACAGGCTCCCAAGAGCGGGGATTACAGGTGTGTGCCACCATGCCCAGGGGCTGGGCCGGCATAGCGGGTCCAGGGATCAAACCCCCAGGCCCTGTGCCTGCTTGCAGGCGCTTTAATCTGCTAAGCTATTTGGCCGCCTACACATCCACTTTATATTTTGCATGTTTTACATTCAGATTAAGCAAGCATGAAAGAGAGGAAAGGCAGTGTTTGTAATTTATTTTGAAACGGGAAAAAATGAACAGTCCATTTTAAAAAAAGCTTTAAGATAATGAATTTTAAAATTTTGTGAACATTTTACTAGTGCTGCATAGGAAGCAAAATAGTTCAACTAATAAGTTGGCATAATAGGCTGCTGGAAACGAGGAAGAGAAAATGTGAAAACCTTGTCAAACAGTACCGTGACACTTATCCCCAAGCTGTTCTCATTTTTAGCCAGTTCAACCTCAAAGACATCTCCAGGTTTAGGAGGTGATGAAGAAAAAGTTTTAAAATTCATTTTGTTGGATGTATTCACTGAAGAGGAAGATTCCTTAACAAAGAAAAAACAAAAAAAGGATTTGTTGTTAGGGTCAAAACGAAGTATTAGTGAAAGACAAATGTGATTTTTGGGAAAAAATTAAAAAGCAAAATATTGAGGGATAAAGTTAGAGAATATTAAAGAATAAGAGTTGGAATACTCTTCAAGGTATCACCTAGTCCAATGTATTCCTTTTCATTGCTGAGGAAATGCCCAGAGTTTAAAGTGTTTATTTGAGGTCAAACAGCAATATATGTATGATAGAGGGAAGCCTAGACCCCAGCTAGAATTTAGCTTCTCCATAATACTCATTTAATACATTTTATATGTACAAGTTTCTCAAATATTTTCATTTTCTTTAAAAATCTGTCTGTCCCTCAAGAGAGATTTGACTGGAACCTCTAGCGGACTTTAGTTTTGCTTTGTGCATATTTGCAAACTCCATATAAGCATAGGAATAACAACTAAGCCCTGTTTAGGTATACTGGTTTTTCAGTGAACAAAATGCCTAAGGTTTTTCTCTAAAGCTTTGTGAATGTGAGTTTACCTTTCTATTATTTCTAGGAGTTTTGTACTTTCATTGTTATTATGAGTATTCAAAGTTTTAGAAGAATTTAGGAGGTCATAAAGAGTAATTTAACTGCCTTTTCAGGAACAATTATTCAGATATTCAAGTTCTTTTCCCAACACATTAAATACAGAAGAGATGAACAACTGTAAGAAATCAGTTGTAATTTGAGTATAGTCGTTTCAGGGTTAGTGTCAGAGCTTCTATTTTCTCTACCAGTTAGGATTAAACGCAAGAGCTAGCAGTTAGTCGCAGAGGATATAACCACCTTTCCTTTCCAAAATCATGTACACAGCTTTTAGTCAATGATAGTACTCTGTGATGTATTTGCTGTTGTAAATGGAAAATATGAACAAACAAAAATTAAGCCATGCCTTTTTTGGTGTCTGGTGGTCTTGGATGCAGGAGTAAGTGACTTCTTCGGTGTCTGAATTTCCATGGTCAGAGTAATCTGCTACATCAGAAATGGCTGGCTTTCCAGATTTGCTTCGGTTACTGTTGGAGGAAGTCCTTTTTATCTCTGTGGCTTTGGAGATTACTGATGGGGATGGGCTGCCGTGCTGGGATTCCTGCCAGGCTCTGTCACCTAAATGGCTAGCAAAGAAACCATTGATCTGGCTTGGGGACAAGCTGGCACTCTCTGTCCTGGAGTCCTGAGAACTAAGGCTTCCTTCCCGCAGGCCCCCAGGCAGCATGCAGGAGCCTTCTGTGAGGTGCCTCAGGGCAGCCCGTGGCCAGGCGGGGTCCTCCAAAGAATCCACCATGATGTCTCGGGCGTAGAAAGGCTTCTTAGTATAGTTTTTCATCCCATTGGCAAAATGCACAGGAGAAGGCACTGTAAACCAAGGTTCAAGAAGAGAATGAACAAGTCAGTGCCACACATGCCCATGTTTACACTCATAAGAGGGCTCTGAAGATCACTAGGGAGTTTTACAGAGTAACATGGCAAAACACCTAACACAGGCTTTGGAACCATTGTAGGCCCCCCTGTAGACGGTGGTGTTTTCCTTGCTTCTCACTTAGGTTGTGCTTGACTATATCAAAATGTGTACTTTTTGAGACTGGGCATGGTAGCGCATGCCTGGAATCCCAGTACTGGGGAGGCTGAAAACAGGAGGGTCAGTATGAGTCTGAGCTGTGCAGTGAGATTCTGTACCAACACATTTTTAAAAAAAGTACACTATTTTTCTCTCTCCCTTTCCCTCTCTTTTCTTTCTCTTTTGAGCCTGGGTCCCATTGTGCATTTCAGGCTGGCTGTAAATTCACTACGTAGCCCAGGGGATCCTCCTGCTTCATCCTCCTGAGTGTTGGCATTACAGGCATGCACCATCATGGCTGCCTTAAAATGTGAGCCTTTTTTTTTGGGTGGGGGAGGAAGGATAGGGTCTCACTACGTGCTTTAGGCTGGCCTCAAGCTCATGGCAATCCTCTTGCCTCAGCCTCCTGAGTGTGTGCTGGGCTTACAGGCGTGTGCCACCACACCCAGCCACAATGTGTACCTTTTTTGTCTTAATTCTCCATCTCATTTCTATTCTCCAAGTCTCATTTCAAATCAATCTCCTGTGAAGATTGTCCTGACTCCACAGATGATTTCGCACATCCTTTGCACTGTCAACATTCTTGGTCCTTCCCCCTTACTCTCTCATTCTGTCCTGAGCTCCTGTCCTCTCTTTTTTTATTTTTTTTAATTTATTTTAATTTATTTTTATTTTTTTTTATTTTATTTATTTTTTATTTTTTTTACTGTCCTCTCTTTCTTCTCCTTTTGGTAAAGTGCTAGGGACTGAACCCAGGGCTTCACATGCACTAAGTAAGCACTTTACCAACGAATTGTATCTCCCGCCCTCATGTTCTTCACTTATGTAATAATTCTTGCACACTTGTTATTTTCCAGACAGCATTTATTGGACTCCAATAATCATCAAGGAGGGCAACTCTAAATTCCTTATACATAATTTTTCCCAGAGGCTACTTATAAAAACTTTATGAAGATAATAGCCACAAGAGACATGTGAAAAAGAATTAGAGATGTGAATATATGAGGGAAAAAAGTAAAAGCTTTATACAGCAAGTGTCAGCAAAGAAAAAGTTAAGCTAGTATGCATCACATAACTTTGGAGATTTGCAACAAAATGAAAAGAGCTGCTATGATTTCAGTGTGTCTCCCTAAGTTCATGTGTTAGAAACTTCATTCCAAATGCGTCAGCGCTGGAAGGTGGACTCATGGGGCTGCGTAGGGCACGAGTGGATTTCTGCCAGTCTTAGAGGCCTGATGCTGTGAGTTCACTGTCCCCTGCCCTCAGCTTTTCTCCATGTGATGGCTCAGCAAAAAGCCCTCACTGGATGTAGCCCCTTAGCCTGACTTCCCAGTCTCCAGAGCTTCTCCAGTAAACTTCTGTTCTTTATAAAATAACCATTCCATTCTTTATAAAGTAACCAGTCTAGAGTATTGTTATAGCAGCACAAGATGGACCAAGATAAAGCCCTTTTCTCTGATAAGCTGTATACAAGGAACAGCCTGGGATGCATATTGGTTATATTGGTTATTTTGTAGGTCCTTTGGAGTTGCATTTCCTTTTTTAAAATTTTATTTATTTATTTATTTATTTATTTGTTTGTGTGTGTGTGTGTGTGTGTGTGTGTGTGTGTGGCCAGCTCAGCCCACCAGGGGGCAGGGCTGGCCTGCATGTGGTGCTGGGGGATTGAACCGCGGTCCCTGTGCTTTGCTAAGCTTGTTCTAAGTAGGTGCTTTAGACCACTGAGCCATCTCACCAGCCCCTGGAGTTGCATTTCCTTTCAAGACACATGACAGAATAGCTACACAATGTAAGGTTAATCTCTTTCTAAAGAAATCATTTCACACAAATACACTTTTAAGTTATGTTTTAATTCTGTTGAGGTCAAAAAGAACAAACCAAACAACCACATGAGACTCTGCTGAGACAACCACCTACAGATTCTCATGCTGTGTAAAGCTCCTGTCACACAGGGTCAAGTCTTTGCACCTCTGACTCCCTGCTAACACAGGTGTAACTGAGAGTTTGGTTAGTTGTTCAATATTTGCTTCCTCTGATAAAGTATGATTCCATGAAGGCCACAGTATTGTGCCATTTACATTACACACAATAAATATTTGAACAACTCAAAGAATTTTCTATAAGCACCTCTTAAAAATTAAAATCTCTAAAATTAAAAATAAAATTAAAATCTTTTCTAGGGAATTTGGGGGTAAAAGAACTTATTCTGAATTTATATACCCTTTTAATAAAATAATGGTGAATCATGGAACCCAATGTTTTGTTTCTTGGAAAACAAAAAAGATTTTGGCTCCTTGAAACTCAGAGGTCTCAACTCCAACTGTAGCTTATTTCTTTGTGTGACCAGACTTCAGTAAGAATAGAAGACCTTTATGTTTTATGGGTAGTGGAAGTTTCTCCTATTTTCTACCCATTTATTGTGTATGTTCACACATAAAAACAACATACACATAATATTTAGGTTATAGAAGAAAACACAGTTAAAATGACATCTATAGAAAATTTAAGAAATTTTATCTCATATTATATGAAGTATTTTTAATCTTTTATCATAAACTCCTAAATGTATGACCAATATTCACTATCTAAAAGTTGTTTCTTAGCTTATTCTTCATTCTTTAAAGTATTGTCCACAAAACTGGGTCTCTCCTTGTCAAAGATTAAAATTAGATCCCTGTCTCTCACCCTATAAAAAAGCCAAATCAATTCAAAATTAATCAAAGATGTACATGTAAGACCTAAGATTCTGACAGGAGAAGCACCTCAAGTCACAGACATGAGCACATGCAAAAGCTTCCTGAACGTGATTTCAACATTACAGGAAATAATATCAAAAACCAGCAACTAGAACTAAAGTACAGTGAAAGTTTCTGCACAGCAAGGGAAACTATGAAGAGGTAAGAGATAGTCTATTGAATGTGAGAAAATCTTTGCTATTTTTCCAACAGAGAATTAGTAAGTAAAACTATATAAAGAGCCCAATCAATAAAGAGGCAAATGAATCAACACTGGGCAGCTGAAGACACCCAAACATTTACAGTGAGCACCTCATAGACTCTACCCACTGAGGCATGAGATATTCAGAGAACTGTGACCATTAATTAAGCTTTACTAAGATCTTTCCAACTAATGTTCCTTGCCTTTTTTCAAGCACTAAAATAAAAGGAGGCCCACTTCTTTTTTCCTGCATATGACCTTTTTGCCCTCTATCTGCCTGTACCCAGGGCACAATAAATTCCACACCATGCTGCCCTTTTTTTTTTTTGGTGGCTCGCTCAGTCCGCCCTGGGGGCGGGGCAAGCACAGCATGTAGTGCTGTGGATTGAACCATGGTCCCTGCACTTTGCCTAAGCAGGTGCTCTAGACTGCTGAGCTATCTCATCAGCCCCACAACCATGTTGCCTTTACACAAGCTTGGTGTCTTGACTCTGCTATGCCTTGCACTGCTCCCTACAGGAGCAAACTATAACTGGAAGAAAGGAAAGTGGAGAAAGAAGGTTGTCAGAGAAGACAATGGGGGATGGATATATGGCTCAGCTCACTGAGATATATCCCAGCCTTGTTTGGAGTGGGGTAGGTTCTCACTAATTCACTAATTTGCCGAGATTGGGCTTAAGCTTGTGATCCCTCTGCCTCAGCCTCCCAGAGTTTTGCATTATAGGTGTGTACCACCATGCCTGGCTTGTTAAAAATATATTGTGAGCATTGAAACCTAATATTTTGAAAAAAAAATTAAGAGATGATATATGATATAGCTGTAAAGTGACAATTATTTATTAACATAGGTAGATTACAGTCTTTTAAGTAATTTTAAGCAAAAGGCCTTCCCCAGGGCCCACCAAGCCCTATCAACAGCCCATGTTCTTCTATCAACCTGCAAAAAAAATCATTTAATTAATTAATTAATTTGATACAGGGTCTCTCTATGCAGCTTGAGCTCATAGTGGTCCTCCTGTCTCAGCTTCCCCAGTGCTGGGATTACAGGCATGTGCCACCACACCTGATTTTAGGGGCCAGCATTGGCATACAGTGGGCATGCAGATCGAACCCAGGTTCTTGTGCTTGTCAGGCAGTCACTTAGACTGCTAAGCTATCTCCGCAGCACCTTTATTTTAATTTTTATTCTGAGATAGGGTCTCTCTAATTTGTTCAGGCTGCCCTTGACTTTCCCCATTACCTGCGATTACAGACATGTACCATCACATTCAGCAAGTGACACTGTGTTCAATCAATTTATTTCCTGCATATGCTACTAAACAGAAACAAATAAGACAAAACTTGGAACATTAAAAAATGTGATATTGATACATAAAATTAAGGCAGTTAGAAGCACATATGTCAAACTACCAGAAAAGAGAAAAAGAGCTTATTTCTAATTTATGGGGTTGGGGTACTGAAGTGCTTATGAAAAGAACACATAACTAAGAAATAATCACATTACCTTTGGACATTTTTTCTTTTGGCTGAGAGATAACAAGTGTCACATCTTCAGGTGCATTCTGCAAAATTTCAACTGCAGCATGGTGGCTGACCCCCTCCAAACTCACACTATTCACAGATATCAAACGGTCTCCTGTAAAAACAGATAATCTTGCATTTCCAACAACAAAGCAAGATTCATGCCAAACCTGAGAAACCTGAGAAATGTCCTTATAATTGTTTGTCCTAGATTTCACTTTTGCCCTCTTTGCAAATTCATGCCTATTAGTCAGTACTTAGGAAGTTACCAAAACACAAAGTAACCTGGCTTTAAGCATCCATCCAAATCAGCTGGTCCTCCAGGAGTAATGGAACTGATAAATACCCCTAGATCCAGTCTTCCCATCTTCTCTCCACCAATAATTTGAAATCCTGTAAACATATTTTAAAAAAGATCTTTATGATACTGGTGCTTTCACAATGATTAGCCTTCTTGAGAAACAGAAATGTGGAGCTGGAGGGCAAACATGGTTAATGGGTAACACATCTGACATGGAACCATCTTTCTAATCTGCTGGAAGTATCTTTGGGATCTGGTGTTTTGGGTGGGGTGATATGTTGTAGGGGTGCAGCAAATAGGATCAGAAGGGGGCTGCTGCTTCAATGTGAACTCCATACCTTAGATTATTTTTCTTTTAATTCTCATAGATCTTCAAGAACAATGACTTACCTAAGCCATATTTTGAATCTTTTTTCAGATTCACCAAGGTGATCTCCCTTTCTGGTGAAGATACAATGCTCCATCTTTTGTGTAGCACATCTGTTAGGAATTCAAAATTTTGAAAGAAAATAAATATAATATGCTCAAGCATAAATAAAACTAATGGTCAAGCAATATAATTGTCAGTTTGCTCCAATTTAAGTATCAATAAATACCATTAATAGATTGTTCAGTCATTTTAAAAATATATTTGGCATTCATCAGTATTTTCTTTTTTTTAATGTATTTAGTACAGGGTCTACAGGGTTTCACTGCATAGATCGGACTCCTAGTGAGTCTCCTGTTTTCAGCCTTCCAAGCGCTGGGATAACAGGCACGTGCCACCAAGCTCAGTCTCAATCACCATCTCAGTGTGCCCTGGGGACGGGGCTGACCGTTCATCAGATTTCTAGCTTATAAAACAACTAATATCATATTTGTTCCCCATAGGTTATTCTCTTGGACATGATACATTTCAGTTACAAATGGGTGAATAAATTTCTAAAGAGTAAATGATTTGAACAGGCTTAGCCAACTAGCACAGAAAAGAGCTCTCTGCCTTCCACTTAGGTTTCCTGGCTTGAGGTGTTCGCATTATATTGCATTATATTGCATTTGACAAGTCCATACATTATGAATTTCTTTGTAACAAATGGTTACTAGAACAATACCTCAAGCCATACTTAGGAAATGCTTGCTAAATAAATTCAATGAATGTCAGCACCAGAATTAAAATTTTCCTTTTTTCTGATTTCCACTTAGTTTTAAGTAGGCTAATCATTCACAAATATGTTAACTAAACCAATAAATATGTTTAATTGCCATGTTATTCAAGTTCATCTATTTAGCAGTTCAAGTAAACACAGCTCTTCCTGTCAATTACAATTTGATAGTGCAAAATGGCCTGTGCATTAAGGTTGCAGTGAGTTCCACACATTTATAAACATATTTTTATAAAGTCAATCTTGAAATTCAGGGCTATGTAGTTCTCAAGCATTTTAAAACCTTGCAAAGTAGAGATTATGGCGTATCTAAAATACAAGCCTAAATTTCTTTAAACCTTTATATACATTCTTATTTTTATTTTTTATATTTAGTACAGGGTCTACAGGGTCTCACTACATAGATTGGACTTGTAGTAATTCTCCTGTTTTCAGCCTCCCAAAGAGCTGGGATTATAGGTTCATGCCACCATGCCCAGTCTCAATCGTCCTCTCAGTGCACCCTGGGGCTGGGGCTGGCACAGCAGGCTGGGGCTTGAACCCGGGCTGTTGCATCTGCCTAAACAGGTGCTTTAATCCACTCAGCTATTTGGCTGGCCCATATATACATTTTTTTTTTTTTTTTTTTTCTGAACCGGGGATTGAACTCAGGCCCTGGCAAGCGCATATTCTACTAAGCTATCTCCCTGGCTCCATATATACATTTTTGTAACAACCAAATTACTGCAAATACAGACCTTATGTCTTTGCCCAAGGGATGTAAAAGTTATACTTCATTTTCTAGAATACATTCTTTTGGTTTGAGAAAAATTAACTATCATTTCCTCTTGGGAGTGAATTATGTATCCTGAGCACCATATTAGTTATAAGTTTGTTAGCTCCTTAGAGTACATATACTACTAGTGAGCTGTTTCTTTTCTTTTCTTTCTTTTCTTTTTTTTTTTTTTTGGCAGAACTGGGGATTGAACGCAGGCCCTTGTGCTTGCCAGGGAACTGCTTATTCTTCTGAGCCATTTCTCTGACCCCTTGTGCTTGCCAGGGAACTGCTTATTCTTCTGAGCCATTTCTCTGACCCCTTGTGCTTGCCAGGGAACTGCTTATTCTTCTGAGCCATTTCTCTGACCCCCAGCTGTTTCTTTTTGAGAAAAAAAAATCAGGAAAGATAGTATTAATTTGTTATTTTTTAAATGATTTTATTAATGATACTACAAAAAAATCACTGGACAATTTTATGAAGAATCTTATACACTAGTCCTAAGCAAAAGCCTATTCATTACTTAAGGCCTAGCTTAATGAATATACCTAAGATATTTTTTTTTTTTGTTCTAAAATAAGCAATAGCCCTAGCTTTTAACTTTTGTTCAAATTAATAAAAATTATTAAAAAAATGAAATAAGAAGTGAGACCACATTAAGAATGGAAGTCAGCAAAGGGCTGAAGTGACCACATTGGTGAGGTAGGAAGATTCAAGATCAAATTGTACAATGATTAACTGATACTTGTTTTCCATTTCCCCTTTGCCTCAAGTTAGATTTAAGCACTTCAATGACATAGAATGTGGATATTTGGAAACTGATTAAATTCATTACATTATAGTATCTGGTAAGTGCAAATGCATGCATTTCCCAGAAAAGCAGATTCCCAGGCAATATAGATAGAATAAAATCCAACGAGGATTAGATCATTAGTGTACTAACCTTGATAGGTTTCTACCTTTGGCCAATAGCTTTAATATTCCTATGGAATATGTTTGAAGTTGAAAGTTAAAATGCCATGTTGTTTATTTTTATTTTCAACACAATGTGTTAAAGGTTATAACTCACCTAGCTAATAAAGTGTGTGTGTGTGTATTTTTCTCTCTTTTTTTCTATCTCCCCAGCCCTATTTTTCTCTTCTTAATCAAAAGGTAAGAGTCATCTGTATTCAAGGATTCACTACTGTGACTTCAAAATTCATTCACTCAATTATTCTACCCTTCACATTTAACTGTTCAACTCTCTTATGAATGTCTATCACTAAGCTCTTTGGGAAATAAAGGAAGCGATGCATATGAAAGCTGATGCACAGCAAATGTGAGGGAAAAAAAAGCAAAAAGCTAGCCCCTTCATCCTGTCAATCAAATGAGTGCATTACAAAGGCATCACATCTACAAGAATCCTAAAATGTGCTAAACGGGAGAGAGGCTTCTTCCTGTTGGAAGCAAAGGAGCTGTCAAAGAAGTAGGGCAGGGTTTACTAAGTGAACGGACAGATGGCGACAAAGGAGCAAGTAAGACACGGATGTGCCGTGCAAGACTGGAAGTCTTCACGGGAAATGTTTAGAGCAAGATTTGTTCTGACAATTCGATTAGGAAGGGGAACTCTGCTAGCCCACTTTTCTTTTTCAACAGAGACACTCTTCCTCCATGCCCTCAGCCTTGGTGACACATGAAGTGACTTGTCATTACAGGAAGTAGAAGACTTTGGTGCATGTTACTGAATAATACTGCAGATCTGCTTAATGTCTATCAACTTTTTACACTACAGATGTCCAAAATCATGAGATTGTACACAGCCCCAGTTAGATTTCGTGAAGTAATATTAGTGACAGACATGTGGCTCAATTAGTTGGGCTGCCCAGAAAGTGCATGGAGAAGTAAAAGATTTTTAAGGAAGGAAGGCAAGATTGAGTGGACTGAAAAGGTGGTTATATAATAAAAATCCTATTGCTCCTTGGCCTTTCGGCTAAGATCAAGGGTAGTATATAATAAAAATCCTGCATCAATCCAAAAATGTGTGTGTGGTACCCAGCACCTCACACAGGCTAGAGTCAACCTTCTCCACAACCTTTCTCCACACACAGCTCTGTGAACATCAGGCAACTCCATGCCATTGACTGGAAGGCTGCTGGTAGCAAATGCTCTTGCAGAGAGGGCAGCCGAGGCTTGGAGTAAACCCAACATTCTCTCTAGGGAAAAGACCTACCTCAAATCTTTGGGGTAACTGGCCAGCAGCACCACATTGGTATGAAAATAGAAAGGGGTAGTTTTCACTGTTGTATAATTTAAAATGTTATCTATTCTAGTGGTAAGAAGGAACATAATTAAAATTTTAGTCTTCTCTCTAAGTCAGCTCTTACTAAGTCAACTAGGACCACATACTATTTCAGGCCCATTTAAATCATCCACAGAAAAGACATGGGTTGAATAAACTTTTAATTCATAAATTTGGTTGACTATCTTTTGCATTTAGTTAACTCTCCTATTTGTTCAATGCTTTATGGGCACTTCAGACTTTGTTTTTAATTATAATTTTCAACTTTGCAGTATTCAAATTAAATTTTAGTGAGGAAAACTAGCATTTGAAATTATCATGGCCCTTGGTGTTTGACTAAAAAAGGCATATTTTAAAATAGTATTCTAATTGCTTAGCACTTCATTAAAAGAAAATAATAAGATTTAATATTGAAGATGTTTATTTCAATGTTTTGTGCCATGTTACTGTGTGCTAGAATAGTCTCTTTCATAGGAAGCCTTTTTTTTTTTTTTGTCAAGAGTCCTGCATTAGATACTATTAAATACTTGCAAATATTTCATGTTTTTGAATACTCCAGGAAATAACATGACAAGCTTAGCTAAAAGTTTCTTTGAAGCTGTTGTATAATACAGTAACACAAGAAATGGTAAAAATTAAATTCATATAATTCTTGGATAAATTTTACTTTTTAAATTTTTTTTATTCCCTTTTAAGACAATACTGAGAAGCATGTTTTTGGAAAAGTTTCACAACTTTTTTGTCTCAAAAACAAACAAGGGATTGGAATCCTTTCCATATCTGTTTCAAAGAGTAAGTTTAGAAGACTTCTCGACTTTTTTTTTTTTGGTCTTTTTGAGACAGGGTCTTACTACGCAGTTTAGGATGGCCTTGAACTCACTTTGGAGCCCAGGCTGGTTTCGAACTCATAGCAATAATTCTGCTTCAGTCTCCCAAGTGCTGGGATTACAGGCATGCGCCACCACGCCTGGCAGGACTTTTTTTTTCTTATGTTTCAAGTTTTATAGTCCTTAAGAATCTGTGGAAGCCACAAAAGGTAAGATCGAACTTGATATATTCATTCCTGAAGTGATAGTTCTTGATTATGTGATGTTCATTTACAACTGTCATCTAATTAAGCCAGCAGGAAGAACACTCAAATAAAAATGAGAAGCTCTACACTTGACTCATGGAAGAGTAACTTAACTTCCTGACCCTTTGTTGCTATAGTTGGAAATTATGTTTGCCATGCTCTCTTATGTAAAAACTGGATTCTAAACAGAACATTATTTCAGGGTACTGAGACAGGCTGAAAAAGAGTTCTGAAGAGAACACAGCCTTGTCTGCAAGCTGACTAGGGTGGACACCTCCTCAGGAAGGTGGACTGGCCCTGCTATAGGTGCTAGGTGAAGAGATGGAGCTTCAAACACAGAGCCCCCCCCCCCCCCTTTTAATGTATTTTGTACAGGATCTCACTATGCAGGTTGGACTTGTAGTGATCCTCCTGTTTCAGCCTCCCCTGTGCTGGGATTATGTGCCACCACCCGTGGTTTTGGTAGCTGGCTCTGTGTGGGGCCAGCACAACATGCAGTGCTGGGGATCCAACTCAGGTCCTTGTGCTTTCCAGGCAGGTGCTTAGACTGCTGAACTATCTCCCCAGTCCCAAAAAGAACCTATTTTAATCTGCCCATGTTCACTGGATATCCAGTGCAAATTCCTATTCTTTCCCTTCAGAAATTTTGTTAAAATATATTGCAAGTTCTCATTCTTGCATAATTTATTATCCAGCCAGGGGCAATTTAAAGAGTGGAGTAAAACTTGGGCTCTGGAAAGAGACTTCCCACCTTCAGACCTGGCTTACTAGCTCCATGACCTGCACAACTGAACTTCTCTATGCTCTGGTTTCTTTTTATAAAAAAGAGTAACATCAGCACCTACCTTCATAGGATTGTTGTGGGGATTCAATCAGAAATAAAAGTAAAGTGCTTAGCACAATCAGAAGCACTCAGTATTGTTAGTGATAATCACCATTATGGGCATGTTCAGTCCACATAAGAAGACTGTTATAGAAAACTCTTATGTCAAGGTCTTAGTCACTTGGGCCCATGCACATGTTTAAATAATTTTGTCTTTAATAATATGCCCTCAACTTTTTGACGATTAATATATCTAGAAGAGATTTAAAAAATTCTTTATTTGCTACGAGTATTTAAGACATCATGCATTTTTAATTTTGGAAATACTTCTAACAAAAATTGCCACCCCTTAAAGAATTAGGAGGTATAATTCTATAAAGAATGAAAATTATATAGCACAAACTAGTGTTTGGTGGCTTTAACCTACAAAACACCAATTCCATATGGATCCAACTTTGTCTCATACTGCTTTCTGCCTTGTCAGGAATTACTGCTTCATCAGATCTGACTGGATGAATTCTGATTGTCATACTTGTTTCTTTCTCATCATTCATTAGGTCCTCTTTCAAAATCTGAGGGTAGGATGTAGGATTTTGAAACACTTTTGGAGGTAAGTGTATAGGTAACAAACTCTTTCTACCCATAAAATTATTAAAAGGTCAAGTAAGATAATTTACAAATTAAAATTACTTTGAACTTAAATTCTAAAAATTTTGAACTCACTGCTTTAGGTCAGTGCAAATTTCTATATTCTTCCTACAACTTTGATTCAGATTCTAAAATATAAATCTTAACATTTAAAATCTTCAAATTCTCCTCATAATTTAGGATTAAGATTGGTCCCTAAGGTTTTTTTGGTTGTTTTCTTTCTTTTTTTTTTTTCCTAATTTTCTTTGGGGTGGTACAGGAGATTTAACTTAGCACCTGTGTACTCAGTTACATCCCCAGGCCTTCCTATTTTTCATTTGGAGACAAGGTCTCACTGAGTCACTAAGTTGCCTAGGTTGGGTTTGAACTTGTGGTCCTCCTGTGTCAGCCTCCCAGAGTGTCAGACTTACAGCTGTGAGCCACCATGTCTGGCCCTGATTGGTTCTTAGCTTTAACCTGGCCCTAGCATTCCTCTGTTCTGAGACTCTTTGTTCTCAGAATCTGCTATTTCCTTTCATATCTGTCTCTGTGTCTGTAATCACACTGAGCCCTTGGGCTGGAAGGCTTACTTCTTCTGAGCAAAATCTTTCTTCAAGATTCAGCTTCAGTATCCCTTTATAGTGATTCTTGGTTAAAACACTTTTAGTCAAAACTATCTCTTATCTGAAATATCACCTTAGGTTTCTAATTAATGTCTTTATGTTCAATTTATCACTTATTTATTTTATCAACAGTAGCCTACCAAATAGGTCCCATTACAACACCATGATGCTAAAAAAACCAAAAAAAAAAAAAAAAAAAAAAAAAAAAAAAAAAAAAAAAAAAACCAAAAAAAACCAAAAACAAAACCCAAAACAAAACAAAAGAACAATACCATGATGCTGAAAATTCCCACTCTCTCTTGACTCTGAGGTGAGGCCTAACTCCTAGGCAAAGAATTGAAGATTTCTATTGTTAGTTCTAGGTCTGTTTCTCAAGATACTAGAAAAGGCCCAGTGTGGTCACACACATCTGTAATTCCAGCACTCGGAAGGCTCAGGCAGAATGATTGCTGCATGTTCAAGGCCAGCCTGTGCTACAAAATGAGTTCAAGACATCATGAACTGCAGTGAAACCCTGTCTCAAAAAGAAAAAAGGAAAAAGAAAGATACAAAAGAGGAGAAAGGAAATGATAGAAATGGGGGAAAAATGTTTTTTAAACCTACCATTTTCTTTTAAGGGCACTTGGGATGAAGAATTTCCAGAATTATGCATAGCCATTCCTGTGATATAAATTAAATTATTAGACATTCTATAAAATGGTCAGATGCTGTAGAAGTAATTTCTTCTGAAATATGCATAAATATCAATAAAACATTAAGGCATCAACATTTTAATTTGTACTGAGAAAAATATGTTCTAGAATGGGCATATTTACTATTTTTAAATAGCACTCAAGCATATTCACCTATTTCTAGCGTTAAATTTAAACACAAATATGTTTTCTGACAATGACATTTTCATATGTCAAATATGAAATGAAAGTTTTAAAAGCATTTGTCCAAATGTTTAAAAATTCAATATTCAATAGAATACATAATTCAAACAAAAAACAAATGCAGAAAATAAATTCCTTGATGGATGTTTTTCTATGGAATATTTACCACTTTCCTGGCACATGGTGGGTTTCCTTTTGGGACAAAGCCTTTGTGGTGAAATAGCTTAGAAGCTCAGGGATCTCAGTCTGTGTGAACATACTTCAAAAATCTCCTGTACTGATGAGTCTCCTACTGTTTCCACACAGTTTTACCTCTGGAACAAACTCTTGTCTTTTATCTGCTTTCATGATTTTTAAAACCCATTCAACTAAAATGGATGGTAGTGTCATCTCTGAAAGTTGTGGATGCTTATATTAATAATACTGCTTTCCACAAATATTTATCAACTATAATAGAGTTTTCTTCTGACTCCATTTAACCCACATAACTGTATTTCAATTATTAAATTAAGAAAATATTTTTGAAGTTGAAGTAATAAAAACTAAATTTTGGGCCTAAGGAGAGAGTTAAGTAGTAGTATTTAGCAAAATAACAGAAGACATTCTTGCTTCTCGTTTGTCTCTTCAGCTGCTTTTATTTTGAGTAGTAGTTCAGATCTCTGTGCCTACACATCAAGGTTTCTGAGAGTCTGATGTCACTGGCTTTTCCTTTTAAAACACACAGGGCAAAGACAACTTGAAGTACTTTTTTTTTTTTTTTTGTATTTTAGTACAGGGTCTACAGGGTCTCACTATGTAGACTGGACTCGTAGTGATCTGCCTGTGTTCAGCCTCCTGGGTGGGCCAGTCTCAATCGCTGTCTCAGCGTGCCCCGGGGGCAGGGCCAGCAAGCAGGCCCAGGATCAAATCCCCAGCCCCTGAGTTTGCCTAAGCAGGTGCTTTAATCTGCTGAGCTATTTGGCCAGCCCTGAACTATTTATTTTGTAAGGAGATCTATCTATCTATCTATCTATCTATCTATCTATCTATCTATCTATCTATCTATATCTTTAAATGATATTCTTTTAATAGCTAGCAGAGAAATTTTAAAGAAACTTAAGCCAACTAAGAATTTCTACCTATCAACCGTCAACCATAAAACATCTCATAGACTAAAGTTTCAGAAACAATTACATTCATGCTATGCTGAAAGCAACCCCCCCCCCCCCGCAAATAAGCCTTTCAAAAAATATATCCTTATCAAAGTCTAGCCACAGACTAGTCAGGAGAAGCCATGGGACAGCCAACCACAGTAGTGGCACCAGACTGTCTAGGTTCTTTCCCAGGACTGCCATGAGTACTGTGTCCAAGAGGAGGCTTAAGTAATACTCGGTGCCATGAGACAATCACTTTTATCTTATTTGGTGCATCAGAACAAGGAACCTACAGTAAGCTCTTGGGCACTCTACTGTGGGCATTAGCTTGGAGAAGGAAGGTAAGCTTGTTTATGCTGACCTATACCATATGCTTGACCAGGGTCTTCAATAGATGAGTCTGATTCGTGTTTCCTCCTTTCAGGACTTCTATTTAAACTTGCAACAGACTTTGAACTAAAGAGGGAAAAGGAAGGTAGGAGGGGAAGTGTCAATGTAAAAAAAAAAAAAAAATGGTGAGAATAACAAAATGTTTAAACAAAAAACCAAATGTATGAAATGTAGAATTTACAAATACATAGTTTGGGTGAGTTATGCTCTTACTTATTTAGTTTTGTGGGTCCTGCCAAAGATCCTGTATCAGATCTTGCCATCTGGTGGAAAGATTTTCCCACCAACTCCGCAATGGTGTGTGGCGGGGATTCCATGTTAACAATAACATTTTTCCGATGAGGAAAGAGAGAGGCCTGACTGAGATCATGGTATGATTTACTCATCCCGCTAGGCTTCTCCTCCCAGGAGGCCTTGTCACTCTTCTCTTTTGAACTGTTTTGCAATGGCTGGTAAAGCGACAGCTCTGAGCAGGAGAGCCTCTTCAGAATCTCAGCTTGAACTGACAAAGGTCTCACGGCAAGTTTGTTGAGGGTGCTGCTGGCCAGACTGCCAGTGCTGATTGCGCGTCCCACATTAAATCCTCTAACGGACTCTGCTTGGAGGTTCAGGCTCCTAAACGAAGCTCTCTCTACAAGGAAACAGGATTGCTTTACACGATAGAAACACCACAGTAGCTTTATGAGAAGAGTCATTTTCATATGTAAAATACAGCATGCAGTTTTTAATCATTTTGATTGCCTTCATAGTGGGTATCTTTGAAAGGGTGGCAATCAAGGTTTTCAAATGGAGGCTTACAGAGCCTGGTTTTCACAACCTTTCTCCATTCTTTTAGCTTTTGCTCATCTAGTGACCGACCCCTCAGCATTTCCCACTTTGGTTAACAATTTTCCTGATCAAATAATGTTTGCAGTATAGGCCTGCTGACCCTAAGTTGCTACTGTCTTTCAGTTGGAAATGAGAATGACATTTATAAGAAAACACTTCATCCCTAGTAATATTTCCATGGAAACATCAGCAACAAGGATGGGGAGAGGGAGAGAAGGAACCTGGATGGGCTGACATGCTTGAACAAGAAGCTGTGTGGAGCGGAGTGTTGTCCAAAGAAAAAGTTCCTGGTTACTTTTATTTAAAAAATGTTGCAGGTTGTGGGAATGATGCACTACTTCTGAATGTATAAATACTGCATTATACATTTTACAATTGTATGTTACTAAAATTGGAGCTCAATTTTGCCATATAAAAGGAAAAACAAGCAAATAAAAATGACTTTTTAAGGCAACAATTTTTTTCTTTCTTTTTCAGACAGGGTTTCATTATGTAGTTCAGGCTAGCCTTGAACTCACTTTGTAGCCCAGGCTGGCCTCAAATTCAGTGATCTTTCTGCCTCAGCCTCCCAAATACTGGGATAACAGGCGTGCACCACCACATCTGTGCTAAGGCAACATTTTTATTTTTCCATTATCACTCAGATTCCATCTTCTCACCTTGATGACTTCATATTGAGGGCCAGAAGCCATGGGAGGATCACACAGGGCTAGTATTTTCTGTTTTGATATCTGGATGTACTAACTAACTAACTAACTAACTAACTAACTAACGTGGCTCATGAGCTAGGGATCGATCTGTGCTTAAATTCACTACTAAATACAGTCTTCTTTCAGAGTAATTTTTGGCACACTTTCTAACAAGTACTAGCTATTCTATTGTGTAGAAACCAAAGTCATACAAGTTTCTGACATTTGAGGCTATTCACAAAAGCAGTGCCCAACACATAAAGGACTAGGACACACAATTCAAATGGGCTGGTACATGAATTGCACAATCCACATGACAGGCTGGGCCTCTGGGCAGTAGTGACTCTGTGCTCTGCTCAGTTTGAAGTGAAGCTTGAGAACTATGGTGAATAGCTGGGAAAACTTTTTTCAAAAAATGTCAAACAATTACTAACTTGATCTTTAGATTCCTTGAAACACACTGAAGATTTTTAATATTCAAGAATCAGAATGAAGTTTAACATGTCTCACTGCCACCAAGAAAATTCAACATTCTTTTTCTAAAGTAGAAGAGGACATCAAATTAAAATAAGAACTTAAGAAAGACCTCTGTAAACTGGGTGTGTTAGTGCACCTGTCTTCTCAGCACACTGAGAAGCTGAGGCAGGAAGATTGCAAATTAGAGGTCAGCCTGAGGAATTTAGTGACACAACACTACCTTGTTTCAATATATAAAAAGGGTTAGGAATGTAGCAAACTGAAAAGGCCCTGGGTTTAACCCTCTGTATGAAAGAGGTGGTGGGCGGGCGGGCGGGTGTGTGTGTGTGTGTGTGTGTGTGTGTGTGTGTGTGCGCGCATGCGCGCACAGAGAAACCAACTTTTGTTTTACAGTTCTGAGAATCACCTTCATTGTCTTTAACTTTAAATATGTTATTTTTATTAGCACAGATGACACTTTTTTTTTTTTTTTTTTTATTCTGAGAGCAGCCTAGGACCTCCCACTTGGGGGGCAGGTGGTTAGCTGTTTCCCCGGCCCAAGAGAGCAGACTAATGAAGAAGGAAAAGTCCTGTGCAGATTCAAGGACATGGAGCAGAATGCTTTTATACCACCACATTCTTCACCCTTAAGGAAAAGAGCAGCAGTAAAGGTACCTGCTGAATATAGATTTTGTCTGTGTTGTGATCAACTCAGGACTGTGGTATTCAAGTGTATTCACGACCTACTCTTTTGAGACAAGATCTCACTATGTGCCCAGGCTGGCCTCAAATTCTGGTGATCCTCCTGTCTCAGCGTCCCAAGTCCTGGGATTACAGGCGTGCACTGCCACCTCACCTGGCTCACAGTCTACGCTTGGACAGGACTTACAGCACCGCATGGTCTCACGCTATAGGAGCATAACGCATCTGCTTATCTCACTGGGTTCTAGCACAGCAAATCAGGCCCTGAGAGGTCTGAGAACAGCTTCTGTCCTGGTGTTGGTGTTGAGTGGGCTCACCCTCTCCCTGCCTGGGACCTAGAGTCCGAATGTGTTTCCGTCATGTTCAGTCCCATATACAACTGTCACTCCCTCGCACTGTCCACTTAACCTCATGCTCTTGGAGGAGGACTTCATTTATTCTATTTTCCCAGTGTGCTCGCTACTTACAAATACTAAGTGCTCAAAAAGCGATTACTTAATTTAACTTCATGCAAATTAGGTTTTTGTGACTCTCCAAAGGAAAACACACTGAACTGAGAATTAGAAGGGCTTCATTCTAGTTTGGCACCCACAAGGCTAGCTGAGACACTGTTTTCCCTGAATGTGTTTTCTCATTAGTAAAATTTTGGACTCAATGGCTTTTAAAGTACTTTCTGCCACGCACATCCTATTATACTAAGGAAGTTCAATGTATTTATTAGCACTTCAACGTTTTACAGATTATACCAGTAATTTTTACCTGTTTAGTACAGGTAGACATGTGGTAGCTAGTGACTCCTCATGCAATTCTAAGAGGAAATAATTCCTTTGAAGGTTCAACAAAATCTGGGTAATATACGAATAATCCCACCTTAAAGTGTTCTCACTATACACTTTAATGATAGAGTTCAATGATACTTAGCTAAGCTAATCCCAGGGGTGAAGCTGTGAGCTGTGTAGAGCATTTCTCCCTTCATGGATGAGGCTATTCATTTACTATGGCTCCTACCATTATATGGTACGTGGTTCATCACAGAACAGCACAGAATACAACAGTAGCAATAGTAGCAGCATCTCCTGCTGCTGTTAGTACCACAGTTACCAAGATACTACTACTAAGTAGCAAAGTAAGTAGTGCTAAAACAATGGTGTTATCATGGTGGTAACAATAACAACACATGTTTACTGACTTCTCACTGTTGGGCATGTACCTTAAGATGGAACTCAGGGCCTCATATGTTAGGTAAGCACTCTACTACTGAACTGGGATACCAGCCTCAATCTACTGGCTACATTTATCATGCTTTCCATGTAAAAACTCCTTTTTAACTTCACAACAATCTTAGAATGCATGTATTAACATCACAACCATTTGAGAGGCAGAGAACCAAGGCAAAGAATCTAAGTAGCTTGCCCTAGGCTTTAGGGTTTCTAAGGGACAAAGCTCACATTCTTTTTTCTTTTCTTTCATTAGTGTATTTGGTATAGGGTCTCACTACACAGTTCAGACTCATAGTGATCCTCCTGTCTCAGCCTTCCTTGTGCTGAGATTACAGGCGTGTGCCACCACCCCAGCACAATGTGCCTGGGGTCTTGGGATAGGCACAGCATGTGGTACCAGGGATCGAACTTGGGTCCTTGTGCTTGCCAGGCAGGCACTTAGAACACTGAACTATCTTCCTAGCCCAGCACTCACATTCTTGACTACTATTCATGGTGAATATCCCTAATTAGAAAATGCAAAACCTGAAATGTAAAATGTTTTAAGTGCTTAACATGCTACTACAAGTAGAAAATTCAACATCTGATCTCATCTGAAAGGGCAGTCAGAACACAGGCACATTAAGAATACATATATATAGTGGGCTGAGGAGCTAGCTCAGCAGTCTAAGCACCTGCCTGGCAAGCACAAGGACCTGAGTTTCATCCCCGGTACTGCATGCCATGCAGGCCCCATGCTGTGCTGGCCACAAAAACCAGGCACAGGGGCACACACTTGTAACCCTGGCACTGGGGAGGTGGAAATAGGAGGATCACTATGATTCCGAGCTGTTTAGTGAGACCCTGTACCAAATAAATACATAAATAAAAGATTTGAAAAAATTAAAAATGCTTATAGTCACTTTTAGACTACATATGTAAGGTATATATGAGACAAACATGAATTTTGTATTTAAACTTATTCTCATCCACAATATATTTCATTATTCATAAAGCTGAAAAAAAATTGCTTAAATCCAAAACACTTCTGGTCCCAAATATTTTAAACAGTGGAAAGAAACAAACAAACAAATAAACAAAAAACCCACAGAGGGTTGGGGAGATAGCTCAGTGGAATAAGTGCTTGCCTGGCCAAAAAAAAAAAAAAAGTAGATACTCAAACTGCATTATATTGTTCTTTAATATAAAACATTGAAGACAAATGACTTCATACTTTTGTCTTCTGCCTCTTTTTACTATACTTCATCTAAAATGATATAATCTTTAATTGTTCCATCAGGTTCCAAATGAGAATTCCAAATGAGAATTCTGATAGCTCTAATATACGCACTATATTTTGAAAATACATAACAACATATAAACTTTTTAGTAGAGCAAAGAAGGGAAATTTTAAAAAATGCAGTTATATTTCAGTTATATTTCAGCATGCATGAAAATCATTATTGAAGAAAGCTGATTAAAATGCAGATTCTAGGGGCCTAATTAATTCCCCAAAACCGTATTTTCAGGTAGACTCCTAGAATCTTTATTTTAAATAAGCATATGGTCTCACTTCATCTTGATTCTGAATGACTGAGAGGCGTCTATTCATAGAGTTTGCCATCACCTCAGTCTGATCCTATGGGAAAAACATTTTCTGTAAGATTTCAGCATGTAAGAAAGTTTAAGAAAAGAATTTGTAGCACCAGGTCATTGGTGCTATTCCACTAAATTTTAAAATTACATACTGAAGAGTGTTTGCTTAGGTCTATAAGAATTTGCTACATGGAACCGATTTTGTATCATTTTAATCTCTCTGTGTGATCTTGCAGGGTAAGCTTTAACCATTTCCGCTCTGAGTTATTTTTAGAGCTAAATTAATTTTTTCCCCAATTGGCTCTTTTTCTAAAGAATGTGAAACCACTGTTCTGACCATTTATACAGCATACTGTGGTTTTTGTTTTTTTTTTTTCCTTCAGTTTCTGAACAAGGACACACCCAGCTAAAATTAAAATGGTAAACTGGCCATGGGCGAAACAGTATGTGTAGGTCTTCATTGTCCTGGAGAAGATTCCTCTCCTTTCCTGGGTGCTACTCCCTCTGTCTCCTGCTGTGCTGCCCACATTTCTTCCCTTGTCCTGTTCTTTTATCTCCACTACTGAAGCAATTTTGTCCTTTAATCCAATTTATCACCTCTCCAGTCTCCCAGCCTGACCTTCCCTTTCTCTTATAATACGTGTCATAGAATCTGTGTGATGTAACCTGTTAAACTCAGGAACTTACTGTCCTACTGTGTTATGTATACTGGTCTACATTTTTCCAAATAGTGTGTAAGTTTACTAAGGGTAGAGAGCATAGCCCAAACGTTTTCATAATAATTACACCAAATACCTTACAGATAATTACAAAATAGGCCTCTCAATAAGTTCTTCCAGACTTAAGCTGGGGTGCTGCTTTCAAAATGAACATGAAGTTGAAATCTTGGCTTCATATGTGACACCTTTACAGACTTGATGTAGTCACTTAATAGATATATCCCATGTAAGTTTTCATTCTAAGTATGGAAGTTCTTCCAAAATTTGTCACAAAAACATGCACGAGTCACCTGAAGCCGTCTGTTTCTCCTTACCAATGTCCTGGGCATCCTGGTTGCTCTGTCTCGCTCTCATCTGCAACTGGAACTTATGCTGGGAAGAGCAGAGGTGCAGCAGGTATTGGCAGACCTTGCTGTTCTCTGTCTGGAAGGCATGCTTTATTCCGTCTGATGTATTCTGCAGTGTGATTTTCTTTTTCTACAATATTAACCAGGGGTATCCATAATTAGGATGCTTTCTTACAACTTTCATATAAATAAATAATCTAATAAGAAAAAAGTAATTTATATTTATGTAGGGTATTCCTTGACTGAAAACCTAATACAAAGATAAAAATGTAATCCTGTAGTATAAATAAATGAAAGAAACAAATTAGATTATTTGCTACTTTCAGAAGCTATAGCCTAAATCAGATTGGGTGCCAGCATGAGTAAGAGAAAAGTTTCTGTTTTTTTTTTTTTTTTTTTTTGCGGAACCAGGTATTGAACTCAGGCCCTCATGCTTGCCAGGGAAGCACTTATTACACTGAGCCATCACCCCCGCCCCTAAGAAAAGTTTCTTTTAAGGAGATGATTGATATTTGGAGTTGATGACAAAGCTTGCAAATACCAAAGCTGTTTAAAATAATGACCAGAGATCTCAGTGGAGTAAAGTGCCTGCTTAGGCAGGCACAGGGACCAGGGTTTGATCCCTGGCATGCCAGGCTGGCCCCGCCTCCAGGGTATGCTGAGATAGCAACTGAGATTGGGCATGGTGGTGCACCCCTGTAATCCTAGTGCTTGGGAGAATGAAAACTGGAGTATCACTATGAGTCTGATCTGTGTACTAAGTCCCTGTAGACCCTGTACTAAATACATTTTTTAAAAATAATAATGACCAGAAATATGCATTGTATTCATCTGTTATAGAAACGGCAGCTCAACAATTACTATTTTTCTTTATTTATATGTAATGATGTAGCTGTGATTCAGTTAAATAGAATATGGATATGTGGAGACTAGGACCGAAGATGTGAAAAGTCAAAGAAAAGGTGGTAATAAAAAAGGTGCAGAATAACATAACTGCTGGTTGAGAGATGAAATGCTCTGATATTCAGAGATGGCAATTCTCACCAACTCAGGGAAAGTAGGAAGCCAGCCTTATGTTTCCACTGTTCATCAAAAAGCAAATGCCTCTTGTATAAGAAGGCTTCCTCAAATTTGCAACCTACATCATGAAGCTTATAAGGGATCCATGTGCCTGACGAAATAAGCATAGAATGCTCTAGACCTACAAGAGTAACATCCCTGGGCTATCACTTCAGTCCAGCTTTAGAGTATACTATGTCTTACCTGTGCGCAAATTATTCTCTTTACTTTACATCATCTATTACAGATGTAAAAATAGATTCAGAAAAGTCAAATTTAGTAGGATTATAGAAGATACAACAGAAGTAGCAATATAATAATTATTCACAGCTATCTTTATAATCTTTGGTCTTGCTTACTTATAAATCTTTTAAAGTGATTTTTCTTATATATAAAAATTTATATTAAAGAAACTTTATGTCATAACCACAAATAGAGAACTGGCATCACTTGTCACCAATAGAATCTATCTATAGAAATAAATGATAATGAGTGACATTAAAAACAAAGGCTTGTAAGTATTATTGCCAGTGAAATTTCTGGGAATAGGTCTGTTCTCCCTATTAAAAATGGAAATCAGCAAATGTCAGAGAATCCTTGAAGACAGTAGCACCTATCTATGCTCCTTATATTTGATAAGGTTATGATAATGCCTGTGATTCTAAAAGAAACTGAGTTAATCCAGGGAGTGACAGAAGCAAGGCTGAGCACTTCAAGTACAAGTGAGGGCAATGGAACACCCTCAGAAAAAGCCTAACACTTGTCATGGGGAGTAGCATCTTGACTGTATGTATTATACCTTGATTACTGTTTTGATCATCAATAGTAATTTGTTCTCTTCAGGAAAGCACAGACTACTACCCTCACATTCTACATCATCTACACCCTCACATTGCCACTTAACTACTATCAAGTAATTTGCAAGGACACTAACCTCTACAGTAGTAAAGCTCTCTTCCTGACTAAATCATTCATGTTGTAGATGATGCACCATCTAAGCAGCAAAATAGTAACTCTTCAATTAGTTTGGGAATATTTTGCCAAACAAAATTGCATCTTTTATTTTTATTATAGATGCTACTTAATTATTATCAAGTAATTTGCAAGGAAGCTAAACTCTACAGCAGGAAAACTTTCTTCCTGACTAAATTATTCATATGAAAGACAAGGGAGCTACAAAACTGATGTCTGTATAAGACACCCAAAGGCAACAAAGAGGTATGGGCACAAGAAGCCTCACAAAAGGTAAGTTAGAGGTACAGAGTAACTATAAAAAGTGATGTTGCAGATGATATAACATCTAAGAAAGAAATACTGCTTTGAAACAAATAGTATTTGATTATAAGAATTAACTGACTAGTAGACAAGAAGTATGACTGAGAAAATTCAGTTATCAGCCCTGATGGCTGATTTTTTCACCCCTGCACTCCCAAAGTTAGTAGAAAAGAAGAGAGCTCTACACTAGAGAAAGAATTTCAGCAAAAATGCTGCTGTTAAATACAGAAGGAGCTCTTCACTATTGCAGATCTTTTCAAATGAGTTTATCCTGGTTACACACAGTGTTCTCTATAAAATGGATGGTGTGATCACTGGGTAGATAACAGAGTTGAATACTGTAATGATTACTTGTTCCCTTCCAAAACTGGTCCAAAATGGATATGTATTAAATTAACCTAAAGTTTCCTTCAGATACTTGTTATACCAGAAGTTCCACTGAGGAAAAGTTAAACTCAGGTAATGTTCTAGGGTTTATAGTCTTGAGAATGTGAGAGCAGTTTGTGATTTCCTGAAGAGAACAAATTACTATCTGATAATCAAAATCAACCAACCAACCAATGAACCAGCCAACCATTAGATATACAACTGATTTCAACATTCTTTAGGTTGAACATTATCCAGCATCTATCATGACCTTGATATCCTTACAAATATTGCCCTGCTGAGAATATAATATGAAGCAAAGACATCAGTAATCTCTGAATATCACCAGAAAATAAATCCTGGAACATATTTCCTATTTACCTCTGGGTTTGCCAGTGGTACTTCAATGTCCAGATAGTCTATGTCTAACGTCAAAATAGGCCTTCAGAATGTAACATCTTCCATAAACAATATTTTCTGAATATAGCTTTTCTAATTTTATCTCCATAGAATATATGCATTAAAATATGAATCTATACAAAGTAATGGGAGTAGTTTATGAAAGTATTATATCTTTGGATTTATGAGATTCCATTGGAGTTGCAATAAGGAACCTATTATTGAGCTAGGAATATTTTATCTGGATTAAGATAGTCATCATCTTGAAAATACTGGAGGAGTTTCTCCATGTGAGAAGTTGTGGACAACCCTAGAGTAAGTTTTGATGCAACAAAGAATTCAACTTTGTTGTAATTTAGCTAAAGCTAACCAAGCATGTAACTAGCTCAGGTTTCATCAAACACTTTGAAAAATCACCTCCAAAGAAAACTAGAAACAAATCTCAATAATACTTCCTGCAGCTAAGAAATAAGAGGTAAGTAGTTTTAAGACATAATAACATTCCTGAATGGTAGGGTCTAAGTTTAGTTAAGGAAAGTGAATATGTTACATAGGGATTGATAATAGTCATTTAAAAATATAATGATGAGGGGGTTAAAATGAACATACAGCAAAAGAAATCTTCTTGGTTTCCCTCCATGGAAAGCGAAGGACCAATGTGCGAACACCATTGTGAACTTCGAACACCAGGACACCTTTAGAACAGACTCCAAGCAATATTCCTGTTTGTGACTTCTTTTCAGGGTGCACCCGGTGAAAATGAACACCATATTCTGTCAGTCGTTGGCAGACCTGTTGGAACAATTCCGTACCATGGCAGTGAACTTTAATAAATGGCAATATAAAGCTCTAGAAGTTGTGCCTGCAGCAATGTAGTTTAATGTGGAAAGGACAGTCTTTCTAACAATGCTGCCAGAATGATATGGATCCACTGCCAAAAAAGAAACCTCAACATTTACTATGTTTATAAAAATTTCATTGTGCTTGATACCCAGCACTGCAAAACAAAATAAAACAAACCTAACAAGTCTAACAACAAATCACTTGAGTAACATTAAAAATTTACTCACCAAGAGTCAGTGTTGAAATATAAAAGCAAATACAGCCTGAGAAGATTTATGTACATATATTCAAACTGCCCATGGTGAGACAGGGATTTCAGGTTCAAACTTAACTTAGGCAACTTAGCAACTTTGTGAGACAATGCTTCAAAATAAAAAAAAAGTGAAAAGGGTTGGGGATATAGCTGGGTGGTATAGCACTTGCCTAGTATACGCAAGGACCTAGGTTCAAGCTCCAGGACCATAGCAATCAAAAAACGTACCACATCATCACAGATTTAGTTAGGAATAAATGAAATAAAATATAATAAGCCACAGAATCAGTCTCTGGCCTCTAAGCTGTTAGTTGTGTGTCATCCAAAACTTCCTCTTTATTTTATAGGAAGACATTTACCTTTTGCAGTCTTACAATGCTTACCTTTAAAAATTCTAACTCTGTTTCTTTTTCAGAAGCTCCTACATAGGTATTATGCAATTTGGGTAACTCTTCTTTCATATAGGATAAATCAAGTTTCTCCATCACTCTGGCAGGCAAATAATGCTCTGTTCTGAAGTAAGATATGCCATGTACCTAGAAGGGAGAATATTCTGTTAGTAGTTCTATCTGCTTTTTTCTTTCTTTTTTTTTTTTTCTTTTCCTTTGTTTGAGACAGGGTCTTACTATGCAGTTCAGGCTGGCCTTGAACTCAGTTTGTAGCCCAGGCTGGCCTTGAACCCACAACAATCCTCCTGCCTTAGCCTCCTGAGTGCTGGGATTATAGGCAAGCGCAACCATGCCTGGCTTCTATTAGACTTTTATCAGACGTTTTTGCTTTAGTCAAGAGATGAATACTCTGTTTCTCCTTTCTCTGAAGATTGAGCTCTAGGGGAAATGCATTAGTCTTCCTTCCACTCAAGGAGGCAGAACGACTGGCTGACAGCAAGCTGAGGAATGGAATGTACATTCAAGACTTCATGCTGTCCTTGCTAAGAACTGAGGTGTGAGGGCTGCTGCTTAGATGGCGCAGTCTCTTGCCCCTTGTTCCCCTTAGCTCACTGATGCCAGGATCAGGGGGTTGTGAGAATACAGTGAGTTTTCCATACACTGAGCTCTGCTCTGTTCCTGGCTTCTCAGTACAAAGGTCTGAGTGGAATGTTGAGGATCCTTTAACCCCTACACTTAATCTCCATTATTTAGAGACAAAAGAATGGGCTAAGTACTAGCCCTAAGCTCTAAAATTTTAAATGGAAGAATAAATATAAATAAACAACACACTGTATGAAAAGTACTTCTGGAGTTTAGTCATTTTGATTCACCAAACGAACCTCAAAAACTTCAGACCTTAGCATGAAACCTTTTAGCCAAGTTCTTAATTATGTTAAGGATAATGTTAACATAGAAACAGTCTTGAGGGGAAAAAAATAAATCCAACCTCTGGCTGATAATCTCCATACTCAGCTTGGAGTGCCAAAGATGCTAGAAGTAAGGAAGTCTCATCATCACAGTGCATCCTCTCCTCCAAAATATCTTTCCGCAGCTGAAGATAATACTGATGACAGGTTAAAGTATGCCTGAAAAAAATAAACAAGCACACCAACATCCTGGTCTTTAATTTTGAATCTTGGGGTTAGTTTAATTATAGGCATAGAAATTAGTTTCCAATGTAGTTTATTACTAAGCTTGCTGTTAAGTTGTATTTTGTTTGTTTTTTGAAGACAAGGTCTTGCTATGTAGCCCAGGCTGGCCTTGAACTCAGACTAATCCTCCTGCTTCAGCCTCCCAAGGGCTGGTATTACAGGTTTGTGCCACCATGCCCGGCAGCTGCTGTTAAGTATTTAACAATCACAAGTGTTCAGGAAGATATGTGAAGAAATACTGATCCTCTCTTTTCCTAAGAAGGATGTGTTTAAGACTCCCAGTGGATCCTGAGCTCAGGTAGCACTGGAACCTCTAATCACGATTTACCTACCCATCCATACCATGATAAAGTTTATTAAGTAGCCATAGGAAGAGACAACAGTTATAGCACAGATCTTAGTGAGCCTGGCATATTTTCTTTTCTTTCCTTATTAAGTCAAGAGACTTTTTACTTACTTAAATAAAGCACTTTATGGATTCCCTGTGGTATACAGGAATTGCTGCAATTCCATGCTAGCCCATGTGACAAATAAGACAGCTGCAGAGGGACTGAAAGGCAGGTCATATGTACAGCACAGCTACACTGGGCAAAGGATGACTCATGCACTGGGCTGCATAGGGCAGGGCAGAGTGGTGCAAGATTTTGTTATGGTGTGCACAGCTGACTACAGCTTAAAATGCATGAATTGTTTATTTCTGGACTTTTCTATGTAACATGGCTGACCACAGATATCTGAATTATGGAAACAAAGCTGTACATAAGGAGGATTATTTCATTCTTTTAATATAGAGCTGAGCTTACCCTTGACCACTGTCAAATAGCTCACCTATATGTCAAAAGGATCAAAAGAGCAGGGGCTCAGAAAGAGCAAGCGAAAAACTTTGGTGTACTCACTGTATTAGGTTAATATCATCTACAAAAAATTTAATTCGAAAAAACAAAGTAAAATTAACAGCGCCTTTGCTCTTTTTCTTTGGTTCTTCTTTCCATCCATCTGGTGCCACTTTGGTTAATTTTAAATCCGGATCAACAAAGAAATATTCATTATCTAAAACAGAGTGAGAACAAATGATCAGATAAAAAGTTTCCCTTTGACTTCTTCACTGTACAAAACAATACCAAACAAGATGAAAACAAGACAAGGCTGGGGAGATAGTTCAGTAGATTAAGCAATTGCTTGGCAAGTGCAAAGTCCTGAGTTCAATCCCTAGTATCACACATGCAAAAAAAAAAAAAAAAAAAGAAAAAGAAAAAAACAAGATTGCTATGAAGTATGACAAAGCACTGTGTATGAATGAAGACAGTATGGCTCAATCTTTTATAGTGCAGACTCTGAAAACAGACAAGTCTGGATTCAATTCCTGGTCACCTCATTTATTACCTGTATGCCTCTAAATAAACTATTTTACCTCCTGGACATCATTATTCTTGACTGTAAGATTAGTATAATGCTAGTTCCTACTTTATAGGGTGTTGTAAACATCAGATGACAACCTGGATATAAAATACTGGGTAAATCAGTAGCACATGGTATCACAACAAATGTTCCGCTATTATTTGCTATTACTGAACCACTTGAGGAAAGTCATTACTTTTTATTTTTAAATATTATCACTTAACTAGTACTGATTCTCTCCAGATACATAAGAGTTATCTAATAAAATCTGATTTTGTGCAGAATGTTTAAGAAAGTAGGGCTGGGGAGATAGCTCAGCAGCATAAGTGCCTGCCTGGCAAGTGCAATGTCCTGAGTTCAATCTCCAGTACCAAAAAAAAAAAAAGAATGTAGGCATATTATCACTATTATTATTATTGATTTTTTAAGACAGTCTTGCTATGTAGTTCAAGCTAGCCTTAAACTCAGTAGGTAGCCCAGGCTGGGCTTGAACCTGCAGTGATTGTCCTACCTCAGCTTACTGAGTGGTTGGATCACATGTATGTGCCATCACTATATTGCATATTTACTGGATGATTCTATAAAATAAGTTTTTCACTTTTAAGGTATAAAATATATTTAAGGAAATGCTTATTTTATGAAAGAAAAGGTCTGTAGAGTTTCAAATCACTGACATTTTGATTGTCATTTAAGATATTTTATTGTCTAAAGTTAAACTGTAAGAAATCTGAAATAATGAAGAGTAATTCATAAATATGATTTACTACAGAATGTAAATCAATTCCAAGGAGATTATTGCTGTGACAACTGTGACTGATAAAGAGGAATTTTTACTAAAGCTGTGCTGCGACTATTATGGTTGTGCATAACCTGGGGTTCAGGAGATGTAATATTTAAAAGTTATGTGAAATGACTAATTTTCTGTCATCAACTAACAACACTTAAAGACTATATGGTTTTAGGATAGTAGACTAAAGCAGTAAAAATATCAGAGGTATGGCCCTATGATATACACATATACGCCACACACACACACCCACAAATATATATATATACATTATAACTTGCTGTTATCATTTAGATAATGGTCCTAGAATGTGACAGTTAAAATCTACTGTATTTTTAGCTGGGTCTCGTAGGTCTCAGGCCCTCAAGAGGCTGAGGGAGTAGGATTATTTGAGCACAAGAATTTGAGACTCATCTAGGAAAACAAATAAACACCACAAAACAAAACAAAGAAACAAAACCCAAGCAATTCTCAGATAGTGTTAGACAAAGAAACATTTTTCAAAGTGGACACAACAAATACGACATGAAAACAATGAATGAAGTTGGGACGAAGTCCTCACTTCCACTTTTCAATGCTGACTTGTTCAGTAAGTTAAGAATCCCCACAATGAAGTTGAGTAGGGTGATAGCTGTAGGAAGTCAGCTTTGCCAAGTTTCCCTTCTGTACTCTGAATTTAAAACGCCTGGTACCTTTGAGAGTCGCTAAAGCAAACAAATGATGCTCCACTAAGCCAATGTGGGCCACAACCATATCAAACACATCTTTACAGATGGCTTTGGTATCACAGGTCAGTTCTAATCTCTGTCCGCTCAAAAGCATTATGTTCACTTTTCTCCGATTATCCTCATTCTTCCCTTTCTTGGTCTATAATTAAAAAAGAGAAATGACATACATTAAATTAAGCTTTATAAGTATTTTACTGAAATAATTTTGTACTAAACAAATTGGTTTATTACTTACAAGGATAGACCGTGGCAAATCCAAGGATACAAAAGGTTCCATTGTCATTTTCACAAACTCAGGGCCAAAGAAATTCTGCAAATCATATAAGAAGAATTAATATTTTTACCATTTATAGCTCTTTCCTTGCAAGAAAAACAATGCTATAATAATATGTTACATTTAAAACTACCATGTTTTTTGGCCCTAGCCTTCTAAGGTCAATTAAGACTCAGGACATACGAGAACTTGTACTGTAACGTCATGTACCTCGGTAGTGTCCCAAATTTTCTGATCAAGAAGATTATGGGGCAAAAGAGGAAAGTGATCGATGACATAGAGTGGGCCTAAGGAGAGTCACATGGGGAGAAGATACTCTCTCAGGCTTTCACAGAGAGCACATTGGCCAAGCATTGGCCGTGACTCATCCACATGGCTGCACTGATAAAGGTTCTACAATCTGAGGTACAGGATATCAGGACAAATCCTGAGGGCATTTCACTGACCTTCTCAGACCAAAAAGCTACAACTCTTGTTGCATAGGTCCTGCTTTACCTCGGTCTTAACCATCCAGCAGAAAAGTATGAAGACGAAATTATAAGAAATAAAGCCATGCTGTTAAGTTGAGCTGTGGGGGACTCAGGTTAATAATTTCTGACATTGCCAGTTAAACAGAAGACCCAATGCTATTATGGGCTACTGGACTCTTTTAGAATATTTTGCTGAGTTTACACACCTATAATATTCAATAACGGAACTTCGAAAAAATGGGGTATACAGATGAATGTCCATTTTGTATCTGTGTATTCAAAGTGGTTGGGATAGATATATAGTTACATTCTGTTAATGAATAGAATGATTTGTTCTAATGGTGTTTGTAAATAGGATCACAAGTCCGCATCTTGTACAATTAACCACTAAGAAGAATATATACAGTGTATTATTTGTTGAAAAAAAAAAAACTACCATGTCAAAACTAGGCTATTGGAAAGAAATGCATAAACTTTCAATGTAGTACTTCACGGAAATGTGACAAAATCAAGAATGAAACATGTTCTACATACGTAAGCTTTTCCTAATGTTTTCTACCAGTAAGGAATAATGACCGACTTTATACTGTTTCATTATTTTACTGGTTTTCAATATTTGACCTCCAGGTAGAATTCTTTTGTTCTACTGTACAAGATGAATTGTATTTTACTTGTTAAAAAATTTAAAAGTTTGTTTTGACTTTTAAAGATAGTAAAATATTTCTTCTATTAAAAATGATGCAGAATTTCAGAACAAGAGGACAGGAAATCAACAATGGTTGTCTTAAAAAAAATAAGTAATCTAGGATTCAAGGTATTGGTCAGTAGTAGAGTGAATCCATAACATCGTAAGGCCTGTGGCTGATCTCCATCATCACACACACAAAATATGAACAAATAATAAAAATAAACTATCAAGCTCATTCATATAAGGATTTGGTTTTATGTTGCTAAGGTGTGAACTGAATCACACTGTTGTAGAGAGTGATAGTCAATTTAAAATGAATTATAGTTAAAGACACCTACTTGGTGGGTACGGAAATATACATGTTCTTGTGCACTCCACACCCTGGAATGCTGGGATGATTCACACTTCTGTTTTATATAGTGAGAATTTGGGACAATACAGACATCACATCGTCTCCACCTTTCATCCATGCCCTCAGTAGGAAAACACTTCAGGAATTGGGAAGACTCTCTTCAGTCTACTCTCTCCTCATTTTCTGGTATATTCTAGGCCGTTAGTAAGAGGGGGGAACTGATCCCTTTTGTCCATTAAATTCTTAATAATGGCTTTTTTTAATGGCTTTTTTAAAAAGAGATAACTTTAAAAAGTTGCATTCCAGGCACAGCCAGGGATGACAAAAGATGGAACGATTAGGTCCAAATGGCAAAAGCAGGAGGAAGGCAGGCTGGCTAATGTTGAGGCTGTCAGGGGTTGGGGTGTGTGTGTGTGTGTGTGTGTGTGTGTGTGTGTTTGCAGGAGTGTTTGAATTAATGGAGGTCACCCGAGTTTTGTTTTTGTTGGCTTTGTCTTTGCACTTGGTTGTACAGCTCATTTGGTTGCTTGGTGTGGGAATTCTACCCAATTAACTGAGTGTGGAACATGTGACAGATATCACTTAAGTAAAAGGTTAACATCAAGGGTTTGTTAATAGTCAATGAACCAACTGACAGGACACATACAAGGACAGAAATAGGAATCACAGAACCTAACACAGATCAACAAAGCCAATTAAGTATTAACAAGGTAAATGTGTCTTCAAGGAAAGGAGAAGAGAAAAACAATTTAATGTATATTTTGAAAAAGAATATTAAACTAATTGTGAAACTGTTCCTGCACTTATTAGTATACTCTTTCAGCCTCATATAACCACCTGCTCTTTTCAGAGAAAACACATTGTGTGGTACTTTAATGATTGGTAGTTCAAATGATAGAATCACAGATACAGCATGTCTCATTAAAGATATACTTGTCTGAAAAAAGAAATGTAGGTCTTCCATAAGATAACAGATGACAGTGCATACTGTAAAGGCATAATCTGTAGTTTGTGGGTTGCTAATGAACCAAAGCTCTATAGTAGCTTTCTAAACCCATGTTTTAGGAAACAGGTCTATGTGTATGCCCTTCATGTTCTTCACTGAATTATCACATGGGAGATGCCCACAATATTTTAGATGCACACAGTATTTTCTGTAGCATCCTGCTTATTTCCCAGTTTTGATAAAGGTATTGGCTATAATGACAAATTGGTAAAGCCTTATTGAATTATTTCCTTTCAGCTTAAAATACAGTATATATTATTAAAATTTAGGACCAGGGATATAACTCAGTGGCATAAGTGCCTGCCTGGCAAGTGCAAGGTTCCAACTTTGAACCCTGATACTAAAAACAAAATAAAACAGTGCATAAAATTTAAAAATTTGATCAGTATCTTATGAACTGTAACCAAATTCCATGTTTAAAAAATGACTACTGGGGCCAGGACGTAGCTAAGTGGAGAGTGCTTGCCTATCATGATGAGGCTCACTCTTCAGCACTACAAAAAAGAATGAATAAAAATAAAACCCTAAAAGTAAAAATTTTACAACAATGAGGCACAAAGAAGTTTAAAAGTTTACATAAAGTCATAGCAGCATCACACGGAACAAAATTCAATTCTTTTAATTTGTAGCACAATGCAATTTTTACCACCCAATTCTGTTTTTGTTCTTAGAATATTATGAAGGAAACTGGAATTCTACCAACTAGAATCTGCTCTTAAGGTAATTCTTTGAAGCAATTGACAAAAAGAACAACTAAAGAACTAAAAACAAAAACAAAACAAAAAAAAAATCACTGTCAATTATGTCACCTTTACTCATTCATACCTGTATGCATTTATATGAGAAAAAAACACGATCATTTTGAGCTTAATTTTATAAAATTACATTTAAGGTTGTATGTTTATAGAAAAATACCTCAAATAGAATATATACATTTTTTAAATTCCCCTTACAGGCTGGGGATCCAGTTCAGGGGCACTCACTAAAATGTATAAAGCACCAGGTTCAATCCCCAGTACTGAAAAAAAAGTCTTCCCAAAAGGTATATACTGCAGATTGTTCTTTCCTGCCTTTGGGTATGACGCTTGGAGCTACTGTAATCATCTTTTAGTTGTAAAACAAGGTACTCCCCAGATTCTGAGGATAGAGCACAGAAGAAGATGCACTGGATGATTAATCTTAAGCTTCTGAACTCTTTTTAACTCTGTATTATGTCTCCGATCTCTCAAGTTGTGGGATTAAAAAATGAGCCCCCATAATACTGAATAAAGCCCACCGCTTCTGAGGATCATGAAAAACTTAAAAAACATTTTCTTTTGCTATGGGCTCTGCTATGTTGCCCAGGCCTGTGGGCTCAAGTGCTCAGTCTTGCCTTGACACCCCCAGCAGCAGGGGTGATAGGCACCTGCCACCATGCCTGGCTTGGCACAGAATTTAAAAACATATAGCAAAGATACTCTAAATCCATCAAATTTTATTTTAGATATAAGATGACAGCAGATAAATATTTACTATTTTAATGTCAACTAACAAGATATTTAATCCCACGGGAAAATGAATATAGAATTTCAATTTCCTTCAAAGGCAACTTTTGGGCCCTGGTAGCAATTTCTAGACACTCTTTGCCTACAGTCCCCAGGAGCAGGTTTAGATGCCGTGACCAGAGAATGCACTTGCCCTCAGTTTCCTCTGGGTCATGGCTGTCTCCAGGGCCATCTCTCGGAGCGGGTCTCGGATGTCCAGCACAGAAGCTGTGACTGTGTCTCCAGGGTACGCGCTGAGCCGAGACTGCCGAAGGGCCATTGTGGTTTGCAGCTGCACCATCTCTTCTTCCTGCCGTTTCAGCATGAGCTCCTGGCTGACCGTGCTGCTTTCCAGGGGTGTTTCATATTGTCTGCTACTTAAAAAGAGGGAAAGTCAGGGCTGGGGAGAGCATAGCTGATTAAGACCACTGAAGACAATCCTGTGTTGAGTAAGGCATCAAGAATTAAGCAAATTCTGTTTCCATTTTAGAAGAATCTTTGCATAAGATGTGTGCCTGTGCGAGTGTGTGTGTGCACACACAAACTGCTCCCAAATCCTTTGCAATTCCTGAGGGATGTGGCATGCCTCTGAAATCTCCACCAAAGCCCCTAGGCCATCCTAGCAAATTATCAAGCCTGCTTACACTAACTATGCAAAATAGAACAAGACATCGTATCTTTACACTCCTTATCCCATTAGCCTGCTTTACTTTTCTCCCTAGCAGTTGGGGCCACTATCCTACAAAAGTTTTTTAAAGGTTTATTGACTATTTCTTATCTCTAGCAAGTCCCTTGGGAGATTTTCTGTGTTGTTAATAACTATCTCTAATACCTAAAAGTATCTAGTGATAGGTGCTCAGTAATTACTTGTTGAGTGGATGACTGAATATAGTCTGGCTCACTGTCAATTGTGATCCTCCTGCCTCAGCCTCCCTTCATGCTGGGATTACCAACATGTCCAACCAAATGAAGAATTTTCACCAATTATATTAGCTTCTTCAAATTATTTTATATCACAGCTACTCACAGGTAGGAAAAGTGATTATCATTTTATCTCTGCTAACATAGTAACTAATGGATGTTTCTATGAAGAAAGAAATCTTGAGGGGAAAAACAACAAAAGCAAGATAAAGATTGAGAAAAATCTTTAACATCAAAAAGAGGTTTAGAGTTTAAAAAAAAAAAGTCATCTCAGTAAGCAGAGTTATAGAAGTTCTGGGTGCTATGCCATGTATAAGCTGCACTCCAAAAGTGGACAGATGAAAAAGCCTGAGGCATGCTCTGAAAACAGCTTTGAGTTTCCTTTTTGGTCACTGAAAGATACTTTTGATCACTGAGAATCCAAAATTACTTATTCTACTGCATCTGACTCATTATTTCCTGCCCCCACTATATGAAAGAAATCAATAGCTCTGTTTGGATCTGTTTTGTCATTGCATTCCAGCTGAAGGGAATGGAATTTTTTTTATAAGGAAGCTTGCAACATGTACAAATACAGCACTGTTTACAGATCTCACACTATGAGAGAATGAAGCAGGAGGTTCTTATTATGGACTACATGTTGAGGATATTATCAGAAACCTTTGTACACATTCACAAAACTTGCTTGAGGACTTCAGATGGCATTGGAATCCATGAGTAATTCTGAGGGCAGCGAAAGGCTGGAACCAGCTGAAAGTAGAGTTTAGCAATGTGTGTGAAACAAGACACACCTAACACTCCACTTGTCCAGGCAGCACTTTTTTCCACCTATACCTATATCTCAGATGCTATGTATACCACATGTATTTTTCCTTCCATGAATTAAGAAACAAAAAACAGTTTTCCTTTAAAATAAGGCTCTAACAAGCTAAGATGGCTTTAGTGTTTGAGTAGAATCTAAAAACTGTCAAAATTAAGGTTATTCTATACATGACACCTTTGAGAGTATGTATTAAGAAAATTGAGATACAGCTCACAAAATGATTTAATTTTGTTTATAAGGAATTTATCTTTAAATAGAAAAACCTAAAACAAATTAACACAAAATGCATTATTTTTGCAGCTGTTGCTGCTCCTTTCAGTTAAGCTAAAAGGGCATCACACTAACTGTTCCAGGCCTTCTGCAAGTCAGACACAGAGAAGAGTGAATTCTAAAGAAACTTTGTCCATGCAACCCTGAGCTAAGTGCAATTCCATATTGGCTTCTTACTGCTCTTCACCACCAAATGCTTCTGCTTCATCAGGAAAAACCATATGATCAACTAGATGGTCACTGCCTTGTACATCTTTGTTTAAATTATCCAAATGGGGCATCACAAGAAAACAATAATATAAAAGGCATGCAAACATAGCTTTCGGTAAATGAACAGCTACTGGAGCTTTCCTCAAAGAAAATAAAATATAGCCTAGTTTAAAAGGCACAAGAAACAATAAATTCAATAAAAACTGAAATATCAAGGAATTTAATTAAGGAAAATTAATTTAGTGCAATAGATTTAATTACTTGAATGCTAAGCCATGGATAAATTGTTTTATTTGTAAGACTAGAGTTACCTGGTCTATTAATAGTTTACAGGTGTGAAACTGTATCTGGTAAATTAGTTAGCTATGGGGTGAATCAAAAATATTTGTTAATTTTAAATGACTCTCTTGTATCTGGTAGTACTTGAATAACACAAACTCAAAGATCAAATTTAAAAAGATTTTCATACTTTGAGAGGAAATTCTAAAGCAACCTCTGGGCCTCTTACAATGTGAAATTAATACTTAGCATTATATAGCATCTTTTGTTGCCATAAGGGACCTGTGTACACATGACAAAGATATGTTATTAATATACTCACTATTGACTTGACATCTTTCAGTTTCACTAAAGAAAATCAGTACACAGCTGTAACACCATTCCTGTAAGCTAACATAAATAATACTATCATAATAAGAGTGCCAAGTATTTTAGTATAAAAATGAGCTTAGAACAGCCCCAAAGCAGGTTTTTCATTTTTTCAAAGCAGGCTTTTTAACAATAACAGATAATGCTTTTAAGCCAGATAGCAAATCAGTAACTTTTTATGTAATAGGGAATTAGATAAAGGTAATCTACTCATTATTTTCTCAACAAATAAATTCTCACGAAAAGCCTGCTGGTGGAGCTTATGCTAACATTAAAAAAAAAAATATTCTTTTAGAAATAAAAGCTTATCATCTTCTCACTGACTGTTAATGACACACTCTTTTTTTTGATAATTATTTGCATTTATTTATCTTATCAGAAGATAGATAAAACTTGCACACACACACACACATATATATTCAAGCAGTTGAGGTACGTACTTCACATGCATGGATATTTACCAAAGAAATGGGATAGCTGAGATAACATTTTAGGAAAAGTTATCACCAATTTTAATAGGAATCTGAGGGAATTTTCCTGTCTCATAATCATTAATGATTTTATAAAGACTTCCTATAGTTCAGAGGTCTCTTAAAATGGGATCTTAGAGAAAAGTGTGCCAACTAGTTTTTTTGTTTGCTGTATTGCATAATGTTGTCTTCAAATTAGTTTATTTTTTTGACAACTCATACAGAATTTTACTTAACAAAGTAATATGGATTTCACAGTATTTGTTGTAATACATGGTATTGTCTTACAACCAGCTATTCATATTATCAGATATTGGAAGAAGAAAAAAACTGGAGCAATGTATAAGAAATTAAGAAAAGAAAAAGTACAATTGAAAAAAAGGAGACAAAGCTAATTAGAGCATTGACCGCTTCTATTTCCATTTTTTTTTCTTTTTAAAAAATTTATTTATTTATTTATTTATTTGTCCTGTCAGAGGTGAATATTCTATTGGCATCTAAATACTGTAAGTGTTTGAATTCAGCTAAACATCTAATACTGTCTAGCAGTTTATAATATTAGTGGATTATCCTCAGAAGTTATTGACTTGAGCCTTTCACGGCTCATCATATTAATATGGATTTACTTTATATACCTCATTTTTAGACTTTTCTGCTGGATGGTTAAGACCAAGATATAGCAAGACCTATATACCCAGAATTGTAACTTTTGTATCTGATAAGGTCAGCCAAGTACTCTCAGGATTTATCCTGCAGCCATGTACCACATTTTGTACATTCTTTTGTCAGTGTCTGACCTGAGGATGAGTCACGGCCACTGCTTGACCAATTTGCTCTCTGTGAAAGCTTGAGAAAATGTTTTTTCTCTCCATGTGATTCTCCCCAGGCTCACTTTAAATCCTCAAACACATTTCTCTGTGGCTCATAATCTTCTTGATCAGAAAATTTGGAGCACAACTGAGTTACATGTTGTTACAGTACAGGTTCTCCTATGTCCCGAGTCTTCACTGACCTTGAAAGGCTAGAGCCAAAATGTTGGCTAATCATGCAGCCCTTCCTTTTCTCCAAATTTTGATCTGCTAACTTAGGTTGTTAACCCTCCAGAAGAGAAGCTAATTATTAACCTGCAATATATACAGAATGGTTTATCCTATCTGTAGAAATATCAAACATTTTGGCATATTCTGGAACAGGTATTTTCCATCAGATATTGCTATGTTGAACTTTAAGTCCTTACAGAATATGAAGGAAAAATAATTATATAAAAGTAGAAATAAGCATTTACATATTTTTACAAAGAAATTTAGAAACCTAGTCATATATGGAACTGTAAGTCCTTATATTAGGGACATAATTCGATATTTACAGATGTGGGTCTGGTTTATTTCACTAATAAGTATATCTTCAAGGGGCATCCACTTAAATATGAAGGCTTCAAGTTTATCATTCTTTATAGCTGAGTAGTACTCCATTATATAAAAGTACCACATCTTTTTCAACCATTCCACATGTGATGGGCATTTTGGTTGTTTCCAAGTTCTGACTAATACAAATTGTGCTGCTATACACATAGGCCCACATATATCACTATGATATGACACTTTCAGTTCCTCCGGGAAAATTCCCAGTAGGGAGATAGCAGGCTTGAATGGGATTTCCAGTCCTAGTTTTCTAAGGAGTCTCCACACTGATTTCCATAATGGTTGCACCAGTCTACACTCCCACCAACACTAGAGAAGGGTTCCCCTTTCCCCACAGCCTCTCCAATATTTGTTGTTGGTTGATTTCTTTATGTTAGCCAATCTTTCTGGGGTGAGATGATATCTCAGCGTTGTTTTAATTTGCATTTCATAATGACACACTCTTATGATCAGTTTATTTTGTATTCATATGGACAACTAAAAAAACCAAGAACTATAAACAGTCAATAATGATTTCAAAAGATTCCAATCCCTATCTTTCATAGAATTGGACAAATATTTGAGAATTTTTTTTAAAAAGAGGAGTAAAGAAAAAGGAAGGGAATAGGAAAATTATAAAGACAATAAAAAAAGTCCAATTTGATTTTAAGAAGAATGCAAAACTTAAAAAAACCCACTGGTCACTAGCAGTCCATTGCTCTGCTGTGTCACCCACCTACCTTGGTCTCTGTGGCTGGCCTTGACCTGGAGTTTCATCCAGTCCTAGGAGTCCACTGCTGGATTCGAACCTCTTTGAAGCCTCAGCCCTTCTCACTAATTGTAAATGACAAAGAACTGATGGCACAGGTGATAAAACTATGAAAACAACCCTATCTAAAACTGAAGCACTTGTATTATTTGTATAAATTATATTAATATAACCCAACAAATGACATAATGCTATTAAATCCTGTGATAAGTTTTGCTACTTTTTACTGAGCCATCTCCCCGGCCCCTAAGTTTTGCTACTTTTTAAAGACCATAACTTCTTGTCTGTATGGTGACGATGACCACGTCACTGTTTGGAACTGCTGAGTTCCTGTAATACTATCGAGATAAGTAAATGGCAACATTTTCGAATTCTTAAATTTTCATTTGAATTTCAACATTCGTGAAGAAGTACAATTGTGGTCTCTTTAAAACTTTTTTTTTTTTTTTGCTCTTACCTTGTCTGAAATCTGATTCACAGGAAATAATAGACGGACTTTCACTGGGTGTACTAAAGATATCACTGTGGTAAGTTTTGTACCTTCGTACTGGTTCTAGAGGGATTAAAACAAAAACATTATAAAACAAACTTATGAGCTGCTCTATACAGATAAATTATGTTTAATCTTGTAAAGCTAGAATATTTTACTTTTTTTTTTGGTAATGGGGATCGAACTCAGGACCTTGTGCTTCCCAGGCAGGCATTTATGCTGCTGAGCTATATCCCCAGCCCAAAGCTAGAATATTTTATGAATTGCTTTAAATTTACCAATCACTGGGCTGCTCTCAGCAGGTTCTAACTGAGATGGTTTGGCATACTGGTTAAGGGCGGAGACTCTGGAGTCAGGCTGCTTGGATTTGAATCTCAGGGAAATAATTCCACCTTCCACTCATTTTCTTTCTAAGCCAAAAATGGGATATAATAACTGTGGTTCTCATAGGTCTGTTGTGAGGTTAAATGGATGAACACAAGCAAACCTCTTAGAATCAGTATTGTCATTAACAGCCAGTTTTTAGAATGCTACATGAAAATCTGTTACATGTTGTAAGGGATTAAAAACTTGAAATCAGATACAGAGAATTTAAAATTTAAAATACAGAGAGTAAGACTAATGTACAACCTTCTATTTGAGACAGGACATTCAGGCCCACTGGATAAGATGAGGAGCTGGGGGACTGTACAGGCTCATGCAGTATGTGCCTACAAGTGGGCAGGACCTGGCAAGAGCAGACTAAAATCTAAACACTGCTGCCTTCTCAGTACTTCCAACCCATTCCCTCTTCTTCACCTCTACTGTCCCCGTGATCACGCACTTCTCCTCTCTAGAGCACTGCCTGTCTCCTCAACCCCTGCAGACACGATCCTCTCATTTGATAATTCACATTTCATAATGGCTTTTCCAGAATCAGAAGTCTAAGCAGGGCACTTTGTTTCTTGATCTCCTTCAAGGTAGTTCAGAAACTCCTCAGTCTTTTACAACCTAGTACTCACCTACATCTACATATTTTAAAGATACACACTCATTTGTGAGCATCTAGCAAAAAGTCTAGATCTCTCCACTTCCCTCAATGTTATATACACACAAAAATTTAGTATAAATTTAACAACTAGATTCAGAAAAACTTCATCACCATCCACATTCCCAAACTCTGCACTTGTGTTACTCAGTTTATAGGTAACCGAAGGATATAAACTTAGATGTTACTTCTTGTTAACTTGCTCTACTAGAAATACGACATTCTTTCTTCTGTAACTGAGTGTTTTCTCTTTTTTCTCTGAGAATTGTCCCCTGTAAACCTACATGATCAAGGGCTGAGTTATAAACTGCTAGTCCTACTTTCATCTATGTGCAACTCTCACTACCAAGTAATTTTCTCTCTACTTGTTTCTCTTACCTAAATTACAAGCTGACAATAAGGATCTTACCTTTTTTCAGATGAACCTCTACTATTTAGCAGTTCCTGCTGCACAAGACGTACAAAATATTTTTTGAATAAATGAATGTAAAAGGTCACATGGAGACAATCTTCAAGAGAACTATCTTTCATTGCACCAATAGATCAGAGACCAAATTAGAGAAGGGTAAATGACTACGTGGTATGAAATTGAGAAAATGGACATATATTATTCTTTTAATAAGTTTTAAAAAGGAAAAGTAAAGATACAGATTATCAGTCTTTCTAGCACAGTGGAAAGCTTGCACATTGCTCCACGCAGTGGGTAATATGTCTGAGTGGAGTCTGGCATTGCAAATGGAAACTGATGTGCTGAAGGAAGTGGGAGATGGGAGAAAGCACCCACATGGGATGATTAATTTGGCAAGATGTAAAGAATTTTTCTTGTTAAAAAAGATGATGATCAAGAGAAAGGGTGATAATGTAGAGGAAATACCAAGATAATCCATGCTAGAAAACTGCCTGTTAATATAAAGTGAATCATTTCCTGTAAGCCTGTTTGACAGGAGGCTTAAGAAGAATAAAGGAACTGTTGTGGAGAATGTGGTAAGTCAGAGAAGACCACAGGGAATCTTTCATGTGGCATAAGCATTTACTTAGGACAGATTTCATGAAATTCAATAGAAATGATCAGAATTATTTAGGAGCTTTTTCCTGGTACCAGAGAAAGTAGCCCATGGGTAACATCTACAACTAAGGAGAGATAGGGGATGTATGGCAGCAGGTAACTGAGACAAATGAGGGATTCTTTTTCAGTCCCTTATAACCTGGAGACAGGTACTTTCTTGTGCTAGAAAGTGACAGAGGTTGTTGAAAACTAAGTTGCTAAGTAAATGAAATAGTGAAATGGATAGATGACCGGCCCGGGACTGGATGGCAGAGAAATTATACACTGTTCCTCAGGTAATGTTTACGTGGAGAACAAGGCACAATATAGCAGGCTGGTACTTTGTCCAGCTATGTGTATAGTGAATACGAATATCAAGTAATACTGTAGTAGTGAAATTTTACAATTGAACATCAAGGTATTTACTATCACTTTTTTAAAAAATACATGATGGCAATCTATCTAAGTGTCAATGTAAAATAAGTAATTGTTCAAGTCCTGTAAGTTACTCTTAATGTGATTTGAAAGCATTGTAGAAGACTGAAAACAATGGTTTCATCTAATACCAGTTCATGTGTAATAACATAATACATTATACACAAGGTAAAGGGTTATTTAGGAAGAACTGTTACTTTCAAGGAGGCAACAAAGTAGTTAATTGTTATAGACTGCTCAAGCCAATGTTTTCTGTGCCTTCTCCAAGAGGACTTAACCAAATTATAAATGCAGAATTACACAACTTCCAGAACAGTAAAACCAGGGCCAAAGTTAGAGGCAATTGATTTTGGTGTCATACAGAGAAAAGTAGGAAGTCATGCATAGGCTTTTCAATAAACTGAGTGGAGACCTTTTAGTCACTTGGATGTCAGGCCTTGTAGTAATTCCATGCTCGGTATTAATCAATAAATGAATTTACTATTTCATAACTTTCTGTAAAGCCAAGTGCAATATCATATATAATTTAAATCTGCATTTCCATTCTTTGGTGAAGCTTTATAATTGTTCTTATATTGTTTTACATGCCTACATTTCTTTTCTCTACCTTGTCTATGTTTCTGTCTTTTTCTTCAGTAATGACACTAGTGTCAAACTTTTTCAATCTTTAGTTTTATCTTCTAAGACAAATATAATTTATCCAACTGTGATAAATTCATACTAATTTATCTGTGTGTGAAACTATAGGATCAGACCTAGGGCCTTCATACTGAGCTACATCCTCAGGCCTTTTTATTTTTTAAAATTTGTTTTTTTTAATTTTAATTTTATTGAGAAACAAATATGAATGAGACATTTTCAAAGCTGATTAATAAGACAGTTGCAATAATTAATACATTGTTATCTTCATAGTGGTTATCCATAGTACAAGAAGCAGACAAGATATTCTGTCCAAACACTATTAGTACATCTCTTTCTTCTTATTGAATTAAGCGAAAGTAGCTGTATCTCTATCCTAACTATTTTGTATATATAAATACAAAATGATCTTTCTTTGTATCCCCTTTTTTTTGCTTAGTCCTGTCAGAGGTGATATATTCTATTGGCATCTAAATACTAAGGCGTTTGAATTCAGCTAAACAATCCAAAACTGGGTAGCAGTCTATAATATTAGTGGGTTATCCTCAGAAGTTATTGACTTGAGCCTTTTACAGCTCATCATATTACTATGGCTTTACTTTATATACCTTGTTTTTATACTTTTCTGCTGGATGGTTAACACCAAGATAAAGCAAGAAATGTAACAAGAAATGTAACTTTTGTATCTGATAAGGTCAGTCAAGTACCCTCAGGATTTATCCTGTAGCCCTGTACTGCACTTTGTAGATCCTTTGTCAGTGTCATCCATGAGGATGAGTCAAAGCCATTGCTTGACCAATATGCTCTCTGTGAAAGCCTGAGAGAATGTTTATTTTTTAAAATTTGGATGTTGAAGAAGTATTGTCTAATTTCCATAGTTTTTGTGGTTTCTTTTGCCATTAAGTTCCAATTTCTTTGCACTATGATCTAATAATATGCATGAGATAATTTAAACATATTTTATGAACAAGTATGTGGTCTATTTTGAAGAAAGTCCAATATGCTGCTGAGAAGAATGTATAGCTTGATGCTGTAGAATAGAACACTCTGTAGATATTTACTATGTCAATCTGTTTGAAGGTTCAGCTTTGATATTTCTTTGTTGAATTTTTGCCTGGTTGATCTGTCTATTGTGACAGTGGAGTACTGAGGTCCCTAATATAGGTGTATTAGTGTTTACATCCTCCTTTATAAATGGTATTAGGAAAATGTGCTTTCTTTTTTTAAAAATTTATTTATTTAATTTATTTATTTTTGTGTGTATGTGTGGCCAGCTCAGCCCACTTGGGGGCGGGGCTGACTGGCATGTGGTGTTGGGGGACTGAACCGCGGTCCTTGTGTTTTGCTAAGCTGGTTCTAAGTAGGTGCTTTAGACCACTGAGCCATCTCACCAGCCCGAAAATGTGCTTTCTACATGCTGAAAATTAAACCTAGACCCATATCTCTTACCATGGACTAAGCTAAAATAAAAATGGATCAAAGATCTAATTATTAAAACAGAAACACTTAATCTGCTGGGAGGCAGAATAGGTAAAACTCTTGACACAGATGTAGGCAAGACTTTATGAATAAACCCTGCACTGAAAATGTTACAAAGGATCAACAACTGGGATCAAATCATATTAACAAACTTCTGCACAGCAAAAGAAACCACCAACAGAGTGAAGAGACAACCAACAGAATGGGAAAAAAGTTTTACCAAGTATTCCTCAGACAAGACACTAACATGAAGAATATATAAATAGCTCAAAAAAATCATGTCCTTCCCCAGATTTAAAGACCCAATGCATAAAGGGGCATCTGAAATGAAAAGACATACCTCTATAAAGAAGTACAAATAGCACATAAACATCTGAAAATGTGTTTCTCATCACTGGCCATTCAAGAAATGCATATTAAAATACTGAGATTCTATCT